CTGTCTCAACCCCACCTAGTGCTGGGATTAAAGGTGTGTGCCACCACTGCCTGGCCTCTACGGTCTGCCTCTGCCCTCTGAGCTTCAGGCAAGCTTTATTTGTTAGCGTATATACAAAATATCACCACAGCCATATGTTCTAAATCATCCTCCAAAGGATACACCTTTAGCTTGGCTGCAGGCTAATCTAAAAAAAAGTATAATTTGTGAGATTTTAGTCAGGTCTCACTTGTTTTGCCCTTAGCACAAATCTGGCCTCAATGTACATTGGACAAATGGCCACTGCTGGCCCAAATTTGGAATTTTCAATGTTAATATCCAAACCCGGAGCCAGATATTGGGGTAAAAACTGAGAGATCAGAAAAGCAGAAAGAAGCCAGCCACATTCTTACCACTAGAAATCCTCATCCAAAGAGAAAGCTACTTCCTGTATGTTAGGATTCTGCCACTCCAGCTGTATGACCGCACATGCGCAGTTCAGTAGCTAAGCAAGGGGGTCTTCCGTCTTAAATCATCAGTGTGCTGCGTGATTGCACAAACGCATGCAGTGCAGTCACGCAATCAGTGCATGTGTGGTGCAATCAGTGCATGCGTGGCGTAGCTCCGTAAGCCCACGTGCGCATGTGCAGGGAAATCCTTAAAAAGCTGACCTCTGGCAGGCCTTGCCCTTCTCTCCCATTCTTCCTGCCTTGCTAAAAACCACTAGATTACACTCCCAAAACTAGAATAGTCGATTCCCTTATTTGGCCACTTCCTCCTGAGGCTGACCACCAAAGTTTAGCAATAAAAAGTACCCCCCCCTCCTTTTGACTTTTCGAGACAGGGTTTCTCTGTGTAGCCTTGGCTGTCCTGGATCTCACTCTGTATGTAGACCAGGTTGGCTTCAAACTCACAGAGAACCGCTTGCCTCTGCCTCCCGAGTGCTGGGATTAAAGGCACCTACCACCACCTACCCAGCTCAAAAGCCCCCTTTGGTTCACCTAATTAATATGCTCAATTAAAATTAAACACCTCATCTTAACACAGGGTTTTCACCCTTTACCTTCATAAACCATTTGCCTATGTGCCACGTTTGTCTCCCCCTCTCTACCCCCCCCCCCCCCCCCGGGACAAATACCCCTGCTCCTTTCCCCTTCTCCCTCCTTTACCGACACATCCTAGCCCATTCTAACACAGACCTCCCCTTCTCCTCTTAAAAATTACACCTGCACCGGGAGGCGGCCATCCTGGTCTACAGAGCGAGCTCCAGGACAGGCACCAAAACTACACGGAGAAACCCTGTCTCGGGGGGGGGGGGGGGGGGGGGGGGGGGGGGGGGGAGTTAGACCTGCAAGGTCATTTGCTGCTGTTTTTCTGGCCTGAGTCAGAAAGCAGCCACTTGAACTTTCTTTCCTGATTAATAAAGGATCTCTCTGTAGAAACAGGTGTTTGGGTGTGGTTTGTGCCTAATCCCGGCCTGCTGTGTGGAGGTCTCCTTCAAAAGATCTCTTGAAATTTACACTGTAGCTGTCACAAGCATGTGGTGGAATGCAGACACTCACCCCCCACCCCACGAGAGAGAGAGAGAGAGAGAGAGAGAGAGAGAGATGAGAGAGAGAGAGAGAGAGAGAGAGAGAGAGAAATTTGTGTCAGTAAAAAAAACCCATGCACCCCCTGGAGGAGCGCAGACCCTTCTCTGACCGCAGCAGCAGCGGGAAGATCAAGAAATGCTTTTGTTTTTTGTTTTTTTGTTTTGTTTAGCACTCTGTTTTTTGTTTTTTTGTTTTTGTTTGGTTTTTAACAGCGAGCTAGGGTTTTTACCGCGTCTGTTTCATTCCAATGCAGCTGGTTCTGTTGTGATTACTGGTGGCAGTGCGGCAGCGCTCAGACTCCTCTCTGTCTCTGCTGCTCCAGCAAAGCCCTGGAAGAACAGCACCAGGAACTTTGGTAGGTACCTGGAATGGAGAGGGGCGCTGGGAAAGGGCGGTGGAGGGGAAACCTGACCCTAACTTTGTATCCTTTTGGAGAGCAAAGCAGGAAGAGAAAGCAGAAAGTGGAACTGTCAGGCTAAGAAAAGGACAGACAAAAAAAGGTTTGAAGCTGACTGTTTGAAGTATCCTGTGCTGGCTTCATTTGTTTTGTAGCCCAGGATGATCTTGAACTCCTGGCCATCATCATGCCCTCTACCAGCTGAGCTACATCTCCAGCAAAAACAACAAAATTTAGTGATGAATGAAAAGGAGATGACCTTCAGCCATGGTCATCTACCACACGTACCATGTGTCTCACAGGCTAAGGAGCTTCTCTGGGAGGCTCTGTTCTCTCCTGTCATCTTCTTTCTCCTCCTTCTCCTCTTCCTTCTCTTCTTTCTGGTCCTCCTCCTCCCTCTTCCTCCTCCTCTTCTTCCTCTACCTGCAGATTAATTTATTTAGAGACAGATCTGACAGAAGAAGACAGGGGTGTGGGTGGCTGTTCTTGATTGTCAAGTTGACTACACTTAGAATTAACTAAAACCCAAATGTCTGGGCACACTGTGAGATTTTTCTTCTTAATTAAGTCATTTGAAGTGGAAAGACCCATTTCTAATCTCGATCTTTGAGATGGAAAGATCCACCTTCTTCTGGTAGCCTATGTAAAGGACACAGAGAAAGGGAGATGGCTCTCTCTTTGCCTGATTGTTCTCACTCTCTCTTCACTGGCATTAGAGCCTACTTCTTCAAGACTGACATATACTGAAGACCAGCTGAGACATCCAGCCTCATGGGCTGAACAACAGAAGGATTCTTGGACCTTCTGTTGGTAGGCAGCCATTGTTGGATTAGCTGGACAACAACCTGTAAAATCATTCTAATGAATCCCATAGATAGATAGATAGATAGATAGATAGATAGATAGATAGATAGATAGATAGATATTGTGGTTCCCAACTCTTTATAAGTTCTGTTCCTCTAGAGAACCCTGAATGTATGGTGGTCAGAGGAAAATTTCTGAAGAGTTTAGTCTCTACTGACACTTTGGTTCTTAGTGTTTTGCTTTGCATGATATGTATTATTGCTGCTTTGGGGAGGTTTCAATCAAGTCCTCAGTCATTGCTTCCCATCTCCCCATAGGAGTGCTGTGGCTGGACTCACATTCAGACACTAGTCAACTAAATCTAGTTTTCCAATGTGGATTCCTAGACTTGAACTTAGGTCTTATCGGTAACACAGCAGCAGCTCTTCATGCTTTTATGGGCTGAGCCATCTTGACAGCCTCAGTTTCAACATTATTTCCATTTCAATTAAGTTTACAAAAGATGTTCTTAACAGCCTCTGTCTGAATGAAGGGGGAGCCAGTTTTCAAGCACAGCTCACTGCTGTGGACATGTGAAGTCTGTCTGCCTCATGCAATGGTTTCTTTTGTGATTCCTGGATTGTAATGGAAGAATTAGTAACAGTTTAAGTCAGGCTTATCTTTTCTGTGATTTGGGGGCACCTGTTCTGTCAGCGCTGAGGTGAAGAATCTCCTGACTGATGTGGAGGATAATGTATCTTGTTTCTATTTGTCTGTCTTAGTCTCTGAAGCTCTGCCTAAGGGTTCCCAAGGCTGGCTTTTCCCTATTGAACTACATTTCCTGAATGAAGTGATTTCTCCTAGTAAAGAAACTGAGGTTTTGGGAGTCACTGGGTATGGGGCAGTTGAGCACAGTCCACTTACCTTTTTTTTTTTTTTTTTTCTGAGAAGTACTATTTGTTTAATTGTTGTTGATTCTGTTTGAGTGGAGAGCTGGGGCAAAAATCTGCTCCTTGTCTTCCTGCCCCAAGTGAAGCTGTCGGCACAAGCTGTGCCTCAGTCATCCTTAGAGAGAGTCGCACAATTGGTACCCCACCCACCCTAGGTGCTATGAGAGACAAATGGCCACATGTGTCCTTGGCTCTCATACCTTTAGCCCTCCATAGCTTAAATATTGTGCAACACAGCTGGGTACAAACTGTCTTGACCCCCAGCCTGGGGGATATAGAACCCACAGCCTGGTGCACATTAGGCAAATACAATGGTACTGACCACACCAACTGTCCCACCATTAGGCTTTCATGTAAATTTTTTCGTGGCTCTGTACTGGTGGAATAGAGCTGAATGCAGCTGTCTGCCCTTTGGAGAAAACCAGGGAGACTGCACGGAACATCCAAGTTCAAGTAAGAATTTTTTTAATATTATATTTACTAATTTATTTGCATGGAGGGGGTGCCATGGTTCATGTAAGCTCAGAGGACAAACTTTGGGGAATCAGTTCCCTCCTCCCACTATTCCAGGGACTCGCAGGCTCAGTGGCTAGACTTAGTGGCTGCCTCGGTTTTGTGACTTAGGTACGTTTTGGTTGGACACTGCTCCATCACACTAGCAATACCAAGGCCTCCCCTGATGTGCCTCTGCCCCGCAACCACCTTTACACCACTTCTGTTTTCCTGCCTTGCCCTCCTCTTCTCCACCCTGCTGGCTATCGCCTCCCTCCAGCCCTTCCTTTTATCTCCTTTTCTATTCTTGCCTTTAGTTCAACTCCCAAAGAACAGAAGTGCCAGCTGTTTCAGATGTTTTAAGAATTTATTCAGTATTTTCTGGACATGTAGTAGAAGACAATGACTATGTCCCTGATAAAATGAGTGTTTCCTAGCCAGGGATGGTGGAACATATTTTTAATCCCAGCACCCAGGAGGCACAGCCAGGTGGATCTCTAAGTTTGAGACCAGCCTGGTCTACACAAGGACAAACCAGAGCTATACAAAGAAACCCTGTCTTGAGCCCTCTCCCTATCCCACAAAGAAAAAAAATTGTTCCCTACTCTACATCTAATCCTTAAGTCTGTAAAGGCCATCTGATCTACCCATGGTCTAGGGAAGGAAACTGAGGTCTATAATCCCTGAGAATGCTTGTTTCCAATCACTTCACTTCTGCTTGATCACCCATTATAGGCGTGTTGCTCAAATCTTAAAAGGTCTTATAAAAAAAAAAAAAAAAAAAAAAAAAAAACCCTGAGCCACATATGGGGTAAAAGCTGAAAGATCAGAGAAGCAGAACAGCCACAGTCAACCTCACCTCGCCAACTCCTCAGTGGATCTCTGTCTCCTGAGTGATAGGATTAAGGCTGTGTGCCAGCACTGCCTGATCTCTATGTCTAATCTAGTGGCTGGCTCTGTCCTCTGATCCTCAGGCAAGTTTATTGGGGTACACAATATATTGCCACAACAGGGTTTTGTAGTGGCCCCAGTAGTCTGCAGCCTCTGATGCTGTTGTCCAGAGATGCTGGGGAGCCTATGGGGATGACTTAGTCTCTGTGTTGATTAGGAGGGCTGCTGTGCCCTTGGCATGGATCCTCCTCTTGGATATCTGGTTCCTGCCCACGGGTTCCCCATCCTTCCCTGTAAATGAAGAAATTCCAATGTTGTAAAGTTCTTCTACCACAGTTATCCTTGTATGTTTTCAGGTAGTTGAAAGATGTTTTATACAAAGGTGTGAAATGGATCTGAGGAGGATAAGGGACTCACCCAGGAAAGCAGGCAGAGGTGGAGGAGCGCTGACAGTGAAACAGACCAGAAAGCAGAAATGGACCCTCAGAAAAACCAGCAGGAGTCTGAAGGCGTGAAGAGATAATTTACTCTGGTGGTCAGTATTGATCTCCAACTTGACACAAATCCAGACCTCACCTAAGACAGTAGCCTCCAGGCATACCCCGAGGAATTAACAAGATTAAGTTAACTAATAATCAAGATTAAGCTACTCCCCCGTGCGCCTGGGAGGCACTGTCTTGATTAGATTGAGTTTGGAAGACCCATTCTAAATATGTGCAGTGATTTGTCCTTGGCTGGAGTCTTACACCACATAGGAGGGAGAAAGTTAGCTAAATGTAGCCTTTGGAGCTTTCTACGTCCTGGCTGGACCAGCTGCTCCATCTTCCTGACTCCATGACTACGCACTGGAAGTGTGAACCAAATACACTTCCTCCTTATGCTGCATTTGTCAGAGTATTTTATCATAGCAACAGAAGAAGAAACCAGGGACACACACGTGCAAAACAGTTAAAGATTATAGAAAGTTGCAAACTGAAACTCACAGGGATTATGAAGTCCCTATAAACACCAAAATGTAAAAGAAAAGAAAATTAAGAGAGTTTAAGGAATGACTCAGGACACACACCTTTCCCAACTCTCCAGAGGCAGGTTGATCCATGGCCAACCTGGTCTACAGAGTGCATTCCAGGACAGCTAGGACTACACAGAGAAACCCTGTCTGGGGGGGGGGGGGGCGGAGAAAAATAAATGGCTCCGGCTGGGGAAAGATTGCCTTAGGTCAATAATTGAACTCCACCTCCCCAGCCAGCTAAAAGTACTCCATATCTGAATGAGGAAAACAAAGCTTCCTGGGTGTTAGGGAGGAGGCTTGGCTCAGAAATATTAAACATTTCCTACACAAAGGCTTAAACAGAACTGTCTGAAGCAGCATGATGTACATCAAATAATAACATTTTTAAAAAAGCATGTTCTCTCTCTCTCTCTCTCTCTCTCTCTCTCTCTCCTCTCTCTCTCTCTCTCTCTCTCTCTGCTTTCTGTTTTGTTTTGATTTGGGTATTGGTTTTGGTTTTTCCAGACAGGGTCTCTTTGTGTAGTCCTGGCTGTCTTGGAACTTGCTCTATAGACCAAGCCGGCCTCAAACTCAGAGATCTGCCTGCTTCTGCCTCCCAAGTGCTGGAATTAAAGACTTGCATTACCACCGGGAGGCTGAAAAGTAGGTTTTCAACAGGCAAAACTGAAGGAAGTAGGTAGCAGGGCTGCAGAATGCGGCCCAGGATCACAGGGTCTGGCTTGGGTAGAGGAAACCCATATTCAAGGCAGGGTGGGTCCCTTGACACTGAGAATACAGAAATATGAAGAGGGTGAAGAGAGAGTGGGCAGCCTTGCTTACTCTTGTCTCTATCAGGGCTCATTTATAAGACTGGCTATGACAAACCGCTTGAGAACTCATCAATATAGGTCAAATTTTCTACCCCACATACCTTGCACCATCATTACACACATGGCCCTCAGCATAATCCTGTTCTTCTCCTTGGAGAAAAAGGAAGTGAAAGAAAAGCTAAGAAGGCTACTTACTGTTGGTTAAGCGGTGGCGCTGTGGCGCTGCGGTGGCGGAAGAATCATGAGCTATGGTTACCTTTCTAGAGCTTTATTGGGAGAGAAGGAGAGAGAGAGAGAGAGAGGAGAGGGAGAGAGAGAGAGAGAGAGAGAGAGAGAGAGAGAGAGAGGAGAGAGAGAGAGAGAGAGACCGCGGAGGAAAGAGAGCACAGAGAGGGCACGCCTGCTTTTTAGGCTGGGGTGCTGTCTCAGGCTGGTGACGTAATTAAGGACATAATCCTTACACTTACCGGCACAGCCAGAGAGATGCAGCTACCAACACTCCTGTGGTGACCACAATGGTGGGCAGCCTCCCAAGGCATGGGATTGGAGGAGAACCAAAGAAGTCTCAACCCGGAGAGAGAAATGTCCTGAGGGCACAAAGAAAAAAAATCAGATTTAGCAAAGTATGTCTTACCTCAGAGAGGGAAGCTCTGTGAAAAGCAGCCACAAAAAAAAAAAAAAAAAAAAAAAAAAAACAAAAAACAAAAAAAAAACCTGCAAAGCCACAGCTGAGTGTGGGAAGAGCAGGTGTGCCCTTACTGGAGGGACACTGCAGAGGCCAACATGACAATTCAATAAGGATCACATATACATCTTAATGACTTTAATATAGCATTTTACGCTTGAAAATTAAAGAGACAGTTCTTAGACAAGGATAGGTGTGGTACCCTGAACAGTTAGTTGGCCTTAGATGAAGGCATTTCAAAGCACCCCATCACTGAGTGGTAATTACAGAAATATTGACCTCCACTAGCAAGGATTCATCATTGGAAAAAGTTTTCCACTCCCGGGGCCCAACTCAGGCCTTCCATCCTACTCTGAACCCCTAAATAATGAGAGCTCAGCCACATGGGGGTTTCCCTGGCTTTCCCACCTGATACAGACCCCAGATCTGCTTACCAAGGAGAAGAAGTGACTGTGGTTCATGGTGAGCACTAGATCCTACAACTCAAGACCAGGGTCCTGGGTTCCTTGCAGACCATCCACCTTGTGCTGCACCAACTGCAGTGTGCGAACTGTGAGTGATCAAATGTCAAACATCACCCCAGTCCACGAGATAGTATCAGCCTTATTAGGAAGAGGGTAGACCACAAATTTCTACACAGGATGTAGAAATCTACACTCATCTTCACTGGTGGCCACAGTCTGGTTGCAGCATACCTTTTTTTTTTTTTTTTTTTTTAAATCTCCTGGGAGAAAGAACCTGACTCCCTCTAGCTTTGTGGTTTGTGATTCTAAGAAACAGGAACTAAGCTGGCAATACAATACATCAAGTTTCCTCCGTTTTGCGCTGAGCTGAGTTATGATTGCTTGAGAATCCTCGTGCTGAGTTGGGCAGGTATGCCAATATTCTCCAGGGTATACCAATCTGGGAGGGCAGGAAGGACCCTGACCTCCAGTCATGGAAACCCACCTCACCCTAGACCATCTTAAGAATGGGCTCTGTAGGATATTGAGAGACTAAGTTGGTAATCCACTCTCTGCCTGGAAGCCGTTCTTAGGGCTTGAATGCTTCCTTAATAGGGTGGTAGGAGTCTACAGCAGGCTGAGACAGCCATGACCTAAGAGGACCCGCTAGGCTCCATATCTTGCCTGAGTTTACTACACAGTGGCTTGAAGAACAAAGTGAAATTATGAACACTTTTTTTTTTTTAGAACTAGCCACAAATCCCACAGATAAACCCGGTTTTTAAAATATCTAATCAGAAATGTGGTGAGTGAAGGCTACACCCTTTAAGGAAACCACAGAGCTTGTGGTTTGAAACCCTTCAGCAACCTAGTTGTCAGGGCAGGTGAGGCTTCCACTCTGGAAGCCCCTCGTTGACGTTTTGAAATTAGACTGCAAGGTTCCCCGGAACCACAAGGAATGAAATGGATAAGACTGTCTGGATTCTCCTGGGGATGCAGGCTGGTAGGGCAGCTGGTGCTGAGCAAGCCTGACTGCCCTGTCCTCGAGGTTCAGGAAGAATTGGTCCAAGTGTGGGTACAAAGCTGAGGTAACACCTTTGGGATCCACTCTTTTCTCTAAGGACAGGGGTGGGTTTTTCCCAGGAGACTGCACGCTGTGTGAAGGAGCGGGCATGAGGGTAGCATGGGGCAGCCTAGCATCCAGTCTCTGAATTTTCTAAACAGTGAACTTGAAAGGGTTGTTTTTGTTTCGTTGTTTCCCCCCTGGCCTACCCCCCAGGGGCATCTATGCAGCAGGTTCTTTCTCCTTGTGGTGACTGGGAGAATGTTTGTGGTTTCAGGCACAGACCTTCCCATGAATATCATTACTTCCCCAAAGGTTTGATAAGCTAATGTCCCTCAACCTCAAAAGATGCTGTGGCTTCCACAAAGCCACTGTGCAATACTTCTCCCCAGTGCAATGGAAAGAAAAGCCCTGTGCCCTGTGACCTATGCCCTGTGACCTATACCCTGTGCCCTGCGCACTGCAACCTGCGCCCTTCGACCTGTGACCTGTGCCCTGTGACCTGTGACCTGCCCCCTGCGCCCTGTGCCCTGCACTCTGTGACCTGCCCCCTGCACCCTGTGCCCTGCGCTCTGTGCCCTGCCCCCTGCACCCTTTGACCTAAGTCCTGTGCCCTGCCCCCTGCCCCCTGCGCCCTGCCCCCTGCACCCTGCTCCCTGTGACCTGTGCCCTGTGACCTGTGCCCTGCCCCCTGTGACCTGCACCCTGTGCCCTGCCCCCTGCCCCCTGTGCCCTGCCCCCTGCCCCCTACACCTTGTGACCTAAGCCCTGTGCCCTGCCCCCTGCACTCTGTGCTCTGTGCCCTGCCCCCTGCGCCCTGCGCGCTGCGCCCTGTGACCTGCGCCCTGCCCCCTGCACCCTGTGACCTGCGCCCTGTGCCCTGTGACCTGTGACCTGCCCCCTGCACCCTGTGACCTGCCCCCTGCGCCCTGTGCCCTGCACCCTGTGCCCTGTGACCTGCCCCCTGCGCCCTGCGCCCTGTGACCTGCCCCCTGCGCCCTGTGCCCTGCGCCCTGCCCCCTGCCCCCTGTGACCTGCCCCCTGCGCCCTGCGCCCTGTGACCTGCCCCCTGCGCCCTGTGCCCTGCGCCCTGCCCCCTGCACTCTGTGACCTGCCCCCTGCGCCGTGCCCTGTGACCTGCGCCCTGTGCCCTGTGACCTGTGACCTGTGACCTGCCCCCTGTACCCTGCGCCCTGTGCCCTGTGACCTGTGCCCTGCACCCTGCGCCCTGTGCCCTGCCCCCTGCGCCCTGTGCCCTGCCCCCTGTGCCCTGTGACCTGCACAGCAGCTCACGTTCTGACAAGTGCTCAGGGTGCTGACCGAGACTGGAGACTGCAACCTGGAAAACACGCTAGGGGAAGGGGGTATCCAGTGCTATTACCACCCAAGTCTTTGCCTTATGTTGGAAAAAAACACATTTTCCCCCTCTCTCCCTTCCCTCCTCTTCCTCCCCTTCCTCAGTCTGTTTCTGGAGACTCAATTTGAGATCTCAAGACGAACTTGCTAGAGGGACCCAGGTGTGCACCCAGCACTGGCCTGGACGGCTTTCTGGCCCTTTTAACTTTTAACCCAGCACCCAGGATGCTTTTGAAATGTTTCTGTTCTCCCTAAATTGTTGCCAGTGCTCTCCACTGGCCCAACCTCCTCTCAGCTCCAGCACAGAAACTTCCCCAGGGTAAGTCCCCAGGAGGACTAGGGCAGGGTAAGGATTAGAAGAACAAAATATTTATCCTTATTTGCACAGATAAGTGTAGCTGTCACCCTCATCAAAGAAACTTCTTTTTACAGACACTGACCAAGATCATTACGGAAAGCCATAGCTAGTCAGAATGCAGACATTGGCCGCGGGGTGCCCAGCCCCAGTCAGTATGTTTACGTGACTACCTCTGCTCTTAGGGCTCAGGGAGCAAATAGGAAGAGGAGTCAGAACAAAGGTAAGAACCAGGGGACCAGGACATCTGCTGTGAGACGGTCTCTTCTAAAAAACTAAAGAAATAATAAAAAGATATGTAGTGGGGGAGGGAAGGGAAGTTGGGGTAGATCTGGGAGAAGTTGTAGGGGTGAGTGGGGGAGTGGAGGTGGGGGAGGGAGTGGAGCGGAGCGGGGCGGGGGGAGGGGGGGGAAGCGACGGCTCTGCGCGCGCTGCTCCTGCTGCTGGCGGCCGCCCTGGCCCCGACCCCGACCAGCGCGGGGTGAGTGCGGGGTCGGGAGGGAAACGACCCTGCGGGGAGGGCGGGGGCGGCCCCGGGGAAGCCGCGTCCCCGTCGCCCGGCCAGACCCTCCCACACTTCTCCACCGCGTCCCGAGCCCCGCGCCCTGCTCCCCTCCCGGCCGCGCACCCGCCCGGGGTCCGGGAGGAGGGTCGGGGGTCTCACCGCGCGCCGCCCCCAGGCTCGCACTCCATGTGGTATTTCTACACCATCGTGTCCCGGCCCGGCCTCGGGGAGCCCCGGTACATGGAAGTCGGTTACGTGGACGACACGCAGTTCGTGCGCTTCGACAGCGACGCGGAGACCCCGAGATATGAGCCGCGGGCGCCGTGGGTGGAGCGGGAGGGGCCGGAGTATTGGGAGAGGGAAACACGGAAAGCCAAGGGCCACGAGCAGACTTTCCGAGTGAACCTGAGGACCCTGCTCCGATACTACAACCAGAGCAAGGGCGGTGAGTGACGCGGGTCGGAGGTCACGACCCCTCCACGTCCCTACGTCCCGGCCGGAGTCGCCCCGGGTCCGAGGTTCAGCCCGAGGCTGCGGAATCTCAAAAACGCTGGGCTCCGGAAAGCCCCGAACCGCGACCGGGTTTCCCCTACACTCTAGAGGAGTCCGCGGGTGGGCGGGGCTGACCGCGGGTGGGCGGGGCTGACCGCGGGGTCCCCGCAGATTCTCACACCTTCCGGTGGATGACTGATTGTGACTTGGGTTCAGACCAGCGCTTCCTCCGCGGGTACAGTCAGGATGCCTACGACGGCCGCGATTACATCGCCCTGAACGACGACCTGACGACGTGGACGGCGGCGCAGATCACCCGGCGCAAGTGGGAGCAGGCTGGTGTTGCAGAGGAAGTCAGGGCCTACCTGGAGGGCGCGTGCGTGGAGTGGCTGCGCAGATACCTGGAGATCGGGAAGGACACGCTGCAGCGCTGCAGCACACAGGTGCAGGGCCGCGGGCAGCTCCTCCCTCTGCCTCGGGCTGGGCTCAGTCCTGAGGAAGAAGAAACCCCTCAGCTGGGGTCATGCCCCTGTCTCTTCATGTTTTTAATTTTTTTAAACTTTATTACAAAAAAGTTACAAAAAGAAAAAAAAAATCACTCGCAGAAATTAACCAGAACGAACTCTATACCTCTCAGTGAATTTCTATACAGATGGAGTAGCCATTCTGAACCTCTGGAGATTCACTTTGGATTTTACAGTTCATTATCAAATATTTTTTATGCACTTACCCAGCACCAACACCAAAAGAAAGAAAGAGAATCCATGGAAGAATTAGAAGTAGAAAATAAATAGCTTTTTGTCCTTTTTCATAACCCGTGTCCATTACGTGCACTCAGTCCTGTGTCTCCCCAGTACTAACCCTTTCCTGCTCTCCTTTTGTCATGTTGTACTATACCCACTTGTACATTTGTTTACATGTGGACGTGTATTATCGACTAAATCCCCACATGTGAGGAAGAACAGTGTGTTTATTTTCTTTCTGAAATTGTGTGGCATTGTACATTCCAAGTCGATCCGTTTTCCTGAGTATTTTGTGATTTCATTGTTTAGAGCTGAATGTAGACCATTATATGTTGGTGTACAATTGGGTTGATTCCAATTGTTTGCTCGAGGGAATAAAACAGCAATAAGCATGGGGGGCACATATCTCTACAATAGAGTGTAGAGTTCTCTGGGTGTATATGCCCTAGAGTGAGATAACTGGACCATGTGGTAGTTCCATTTTTAAGCTTTTGAGAAATGTTCAAAATGATTTCAACAACACTGTATTAATTTGCACACGCGTGCACACACAAAAAGTGAGTGAGGGCTCCTGTCTCTCCACATCCTCTCTAACATTCCTTGTCAGATTTGTTGACGGCCATTCTGACTGGTAAGAGGTGCTAGCTCAAGGTTTTTATTTTCTTTCTTTCTTTCGTTTCTTTCTTTCTTTCTTCCTTTCTTTTTCTTCTTCTTCTTCTTCTTCTTCTTCTTCTTCTTCTTCTTCTTCTTCTTCTTGTTCTTCTTCTTGTTCTTCTTCTTGTTCTTCTTCTTGTTCTTCTTCTTGTTCTTCTTCTTGTTCTTCTTCTTGTTCTTCTTCTTCTTGTTCTTGTTCTTCTTCTTCTTCTTTTGTAGGGGCGATTTGTTTGTTTGGTTTTGGTTTTTTGAGACAGGGATTCTCTGTGTAACAGCTCTAACTGTTCTAGAACTCCCTTTGTAGACCAGGCTGGCATTGAACTCACAGAGATCCTGCTGCCTCTGCCTCCCAAGTACCGGGATTAAAGGCGTGCTCCACCACTACCTGGCTCCATTTTTTATTATTATTTTATGAGTTGAGTATGTGCCTGTACATACGCATGTGCACCACCAGTGTGCCTGGTGTCTGGAGTCAGAAGAGGGAGTCAGATTCCCTGGGACTGGGGTCACATACAGTGCATCTAATCCAGGTCCTCTGCAAGAGCATCAGGTGCTCTAAACCTCTGAGCCAACTCTCCAGCCCCTTCAAAGTAGTTTTAATATGCCTTTCCCTGATGGCTGAAGATACTGAACATTTAAAAAATATTTATTGACCATTTATGGGGTTTGCTCTTTTTAAGATAACTGTCTATTCTGTTCCCTCATCCATTTGTGGATTGACAAGTGCCTTGGTATTTAATCTCTGCAGAAGTTTGCAAAGTCCGAACTCTAGTCTCTTGTCTATAGTCCAGCTGGTTTTTCTCCTATGGTGGCTCCTGTGCACTCTGCTGAGTGTGCCCTGTGGTGTGAGGAGACTTTATTTTCTAGCTGCTACATGGCCTAATGAGCTCCTGTTGTTCTATCATAAGCTCTTGTCTACCCCAGTATCTAGAAGAGTATCCCCTAGGTTGTCTTCTTGAAGTTTAGGTGTTTCAAGTATTGAACTTCGGTTGTTGCTCCATTTTGAGGTTACTTTTTATATAGGTGAAAGGTTCTGAGTTCATGTTCTCAGGTAGAAACAAACGCAGTGTTGCAGCATCTTCTGTAAGCGGGTTCTTTTCCCCCAATATGTGTTTTTGCAATCTTCGTTGAAAATTAGTATGCACAGCTTTGTCGTCTCGTTTCCAGGACTGCTATTCTATTCCTTTGATTTTTCTATTTTACCCCAGTTCCAGGCCGTCTTTGTCATCACAACTCTGCAGTATGATTTGAGGCTGCGAGTGTAACACCTCCAGCCGTGTTCTTAGCCCTTAGGGTTGTTGGCTGTTCATGGCTTTGTGATTCATATGAATTTTTCTATTTTTCTAAACCTATGAAATATATCAGAATTTCGATAGTATTGCATTAAACCTGTAGATTGATTATGGTAGTGTGGCCATTTTCATAATGTTAACTCTGCCAGTCCAGGAGCATGGATTGTCTTTCCATCCTCTAACATTCTCTTCTATGATTTCCTGTGTCAGTGGAATTCTCCCACAGTTCTCCTGTGGAGTTCGGAGGACTCTGAGTTGAAGACCCAGCTTTCAAAGAGAAGGAATTATCCTGGCTTCCCATCTGCCCGAAGCTATTGTAGGGCAGTATTCTTACCTTTTTATTCCAATTTTAAGTGTTTTCAGCAAAGTCTCAGTCCCCAGGCGGTGAGGTCTGGGGTGGGAGCCCAGGGCTGGGGATCCCCAGGTCCCCAGTTTCACTACTCCAGCTCCTAACCTGTGTCGGGTCCTTCTGCCCGGACACTGATGACAAGTGTCCTGTTCTCACCCCCACTGGGTGCCGAGATCCCGGAGAACCAATCAGCGTCGCCGCGGTCACGGGTTATAAAGTCCACGCAGCCCGCGGAACTCAGACGCACCAGATCCGAGATGGGGACGATGGCTCCGCGCACGCTGCTCCTGCTGCTGGCGGCCGCCCTGGCCCCGACCCCGACCCGCGCGGGTGAGTGCGGGGTCGGGAGGGAAACGACCCTGCGGGGAGGGCGGGGGCGGCCCCGGGGAAGCCGCGTCCCCGCGTCGCCCGGCCAGACCCTCCCGCCCTTCTCCACCGCGTCCCGAGCCCCGCGCCCTGCTCCCCTCCGGGCCCGCGCACCCGCCCGGGGTCCGGGAGGAGGGTCGGGGTCTCACCGCGCGCGCGCCGCCCCCAGGCTCGCACTCGCTGCGGTATTTCCACACCATCGTGTCCCGGCCCGGCCTCGGGGAGCCCCGGTTCATCCGTGTCGGCTACGTGGACGACACGCAGTTCGTGCGCTTCGACAGCGACGCGGAGACCCCGAGGATGGAGCCGCGGGCGCCGTGGGTGGAGCGGGAGGGGAGTCAAGAACGACGTGCAGACTTTCCGAGTGAACCTGAGGACGCTGCTCCGCTACTACAACCAGAGCGAGGGCGGTGAGTGACCGCGGGTCTGAGGTCACGACCCCTCCACGTCCCTACGTATGGGCCGGAGTCGCCCCGGGTCCCAGGTCCGAGGTTCTTACCAAAATGTAAGACCCACATAGACTCTGGACTAGAGAGCCAGACTGGAACTCACTTCCACTTTCAGTTTAGGGGATTTCGCGGGTGGGCGGGGCCGCAGGGCGGGGATATTCCCAGGCAGGACAATTGGGCATGAATGACCATGCAGTGCCGGCAGGCTCTCACACCATCCAGTATATGTCCGGCTGTGACGTGGGGTCGGACGGGCCCTCCTCAGCGGGTGCAGTCAGTACGCCAAAGACGGCCGCGATTACATCGCCCTGAACGACGACCTGACGACGTGGACGGCGGCGGACAAGGCGGCGCAGATCACCTGGCACAAGTTCTAGCAGGCTGGTGTTGCAGAGAGAAAGAGGGCCTACCTGGAGGGCGCGTGCATGGAGTGGCGGCGCAGATACCTGGAGAACGGGAAGGATGCGCTGCAGCGCACAGGTGCAGGGCTGCGGGCAGCTCCTCCCTCTGCCCTTGGGCTGGGCTCAGTCCTGAGGAAGAAGAAACCCCTCAGCTGGGGTCATGCCCCTGTCTCTTCATGTTTTTAATGTTTTTAACTTTATTACGAACAAGTCACATGTCGCATCCGCCTCGACCAGCAAGGAAGACGCGACGCCAGGCTCTTCTCCAAGCAGTTTATTCAGGAACCTTGAGACAATCTTCTGACCCCAGGGAAAGCCATCTTCTCACTCTCACTCTCACTCTGATCTCCTCTCTCCTCTGATCTTCCTCTGATCTGCTATCTCCTCCAATCTTCCTCCTGGGGAAAGCCAGCCCACGCCCCTTATAGCCACTGGGCAATCAACCCCGTAGTGCCACGTGGATAATGCCGATAGGGTCAGACATAGGAAAGCAAGCCACATTAGGTCCAGGTGTGTGGAAGCAAGCCAGATCCTAGCCTTAGCCAAATAAGGAGCACCTGCCATCTGGAAGGCAGAAGCCAGACGCCACGCCATCTTTGAGGCAGGGCCGTGCACGGCTCTCTACAGTTCCCCCTTTATTGTTTTAAGCAGCAGGCAAGAGCAGAGGTCTAATCTCTGCCAAAAAACAACTTGGACATTGTACTGGTGTTAGTCCAGGTGTCATCCACCCAGAGAACACTTGACCCGTCTGATACCCTTTTTTGCAGAGGTGGGAATTAGGGTATCAACCCACATGCAATTAGACTTGCTCTTCTTGGGTTTTGCAATACAGCTAGACCCAAGTGCAGTGCACTAGCCTCGCATCCTGCGCGATAAAGCTTTTAATGCGGCCAGCCAGGCCTGGGGAGACTGTCCAGCCTCTATGGCTGTAAAGGCTTGGATAATCATGGCTGCATTGCGCTGCTGAGAAACCCTTAAACGAACAATGCACCACAGGCACATCAGGGAGACAAGTACCAGTAGGCCTGCCAGGGCACCTAATCCCGCCCACTCCTTCGATCATGATCAAGGCTATCAGGATCAGGCACATCAGCTTCCGGGGTGTCATCACGTCTCTCTGTCTGAGGGGCCCGTCGCACCAATCGTTCAGGTACCCAGATAGGGTCTAGCTGGTCCTGTGGGAAAACACAAACAGAACCTCGTGCCCATGTCAGCACGGGATCGGGGCCATGCCAGCTACCCGTGAGGATATCTTTCCACTTCACCCTGCCCTTCATAGGGCTGTATGGATTATGATGCCTATCTGCTGATGAACTTCCCGAGGCATCCAAATTCTTGAAATAAGGGAATGGAAAAGAAACAATCCTTTATATTCATGGCAATAATATGCCAGGAGGCTGGCAGAGCCGATAGAAGCGGCAGCCCTCGCTGCACTGGACCCATGACCTGCATCTGATTATTAATAGCCCTAAGGTCATGTAACAATCGCCATTTTCCAAATTTTTTTTTCTAATGACAAATATAGGTGGATTCCAAGGGGACACAGAGGGTCGTATATGTCCAGTCTCAAGCTGTTCTTTTACTAGCTCTTCTGCCGCTGATAACTTTTCAGAGGAAAGTGGCCACTGAGGTACCCATACCGGGTCCTCTGTTTTCCAGGAAATGGGAATTCCTTCCTCAGTGGCCCCTATGAAAAACCCAATCCCTGCCTAGGTGGTCTACTCTGCGTCTGAACTGGATCTTTTCTGCCTTGGAGAAACTTCCCCAAACCAAACCTAGGATGACATCCCATCTTTATCATAATTTCCTGAGACTCCTTAGAATATTCGTTACTCAATTTGAATCCCATCCTCCACTAATTGTACTCCCATCTGCGGAGTCAGTAATTTTAAACCGCACCGTTTTCGCTGTTAGCTCAGGTTTTTCTGTGTTGCATTGATTTTCCACAGATCTCAGCTGCGGATGCCTTGTTGTGCTGGTTGTGGCATCCACCATTCTTAGCTTAGCGGCTTCTGCTTTTGAAAACCGCTCAGACTGCCTGCTTTGCAGTCTGCTAGGACACTAACCTTCTGTGTCTCAGGTTCTTTCACCACATACATTAAGCTTAGATTCACAATCAACATTTACACCTTTTCACAAA